GTTACTGCTTTAAAATTACTGTGCGTGTGAGCAAACAACCCAGAGAAGGAACAAATAAAAGAAGCTGAGACAAGCCGCTGCATTGTCAGGCTTCGGGATTTCAGGCGGGAGGACTGCAATCACCTCTCTGCAGAAATTTGCCAAGAATAAAAGTGCCATCCGCCTCTCCCCTGAATGTGATCACTCTGTAGTGTAAATGTGTACTAATAAAATAAAAATTTTAAAAGAGACAGGAATTGTAACCAAAAAAAGTCATATGGTTGGCACACAAAGAGTTGCTTTAAACATACATTTAAAAATCAGCTCTCAAACGCCACACATTTTCCTTCTAGGAAACAGTTCAGAAATGGTTGGGGCGATGCGGGGAGCAGCAGCACAATGGTGATCGTCTTCTTCCAATCACAAAAGAAACACACGGGGTTTGGGCAGCTTTTGGTTCTTATTTCTGTTGCCTTCCTCAGAAATCTAAGCTGCACCGTTTTAAAAGGTTATTCTCTCAGCAGAATCATGCAGTAGAAAGGGCTCAGGGCTGGATGCAAGTCCTCACCTCCTGCGTGGCCATCGGCAACACCAGCAAGCCACACTGAACCTCAGTGGCCAGGTCCAAAAATGGCAGCTGCTGTGAGAAACTAATGAAAATCACAGGCGTGAGGCACTGGCCGTGGTCAGCCCCGAGCCCAGCCAGCACCCAGCAGGAGCACAGCCACCGCCCAGCAGGAGCTACGCTTCTGGGAGCTTCCAGACCTGCCAGCCCAGCCTGGCTCTGCCTCCCTCTGGTCCCAGCATCTGCTGGGTCCCAGCCCCTCCACTGTAGCAACAGTCAAGGAGTCAGATAAAAATCAAGCCAAGAATCCTCTTCCAATCCTCTTTGTAAGAGACAGCCTATGAATAAATGAGATGGAAACCAAATCACCAAGCTGTCCAGGAAATGCTGCCAGTGAAAACTAAATCCAAAGAGAGAACAAAGGTACGGCTGTGGGCTTGGAAAGGAGGCGACAGGCAGGTTTCCTGATGGAGCATTTACAACCCCAGTCAAACCTTGAGCAGGAATTACAACAGGATAAATGATGCACTGAAGAAAATGGCTATTTTTAGTGGGGAGAATATCAGGGATTTGGGTGCATACTAAGCCCCTCACATTCTGAGGGATATTTTCTTTCTGGTCGCTGCTAAGCCTAACTATAAGTCAAGATAGAAAGATTAGAAGTAATTGACAATGCTGTGATTAAAGGAAAGAAAAGACCAGGTCCCTGTGGCCAGCATCCAACTATGGTGTCTGATATGGAATTCGATAAATATCAAATGCTGGCATAGGGTGGTGGGTGGGGAGGGGTTAGAAGGCCGGACAAAAGAAGGAATAAATTTAGCTCTCAAGCTGAACACTCACAGGCCATGCCTGAGAATCAGTGTTGCACACTCTCAAGCAAAATAAGATCTGCTCCCGAGGAAACTTAGATATAAAACTCCAGAACCCTTGTGAACGGAACCTCCCTGGTCCACTGACGCGTCATGGCCAGCCAGCGTCAGCCCTGGAATAAAGAAGACCTGGCTTCTCATACCCCATCACCTTTTAAATCAAGGACTTAGGACTTTCCTAATTGAAAGTACCACTTAATCTGGCGGGAAGGTTACAGAGTGCTATGAATTTGCAAATTAAATATTCTGGTGCTTATTACACAATCAAATCTGTGAAAGACAACTCCAGTGACTCCCTTTGATTGCAAAACAATTACTGTGACTTTGATTATTGGGAGACTCATTTCTTTATACTGATTTGTAAAAAGCTGGCTAGGATATTTTCGTCTCTCTTCAGCTGGCTCTTAATCATTGCAAATAAGACTAGCAGAGGTGCTGGTATGTAATTTATAAAGCCAACAGACAGTCCTGTTTCCTCAAATAGTGTTCTCCGTGTACAGGATATGAGCACGGGAGATGTTAGAGCCAACAGCTCCAGGAATGTCAACTGGGTAGGAGCATCAAGGTAAAGGGGCTATGACTCCCCAGGGCACAAGAGTTTGCATCTCAGAGACCAAAGAGCGCCCCAAAACAATTCCATTGCTACCTTAGATTATGTAAATTGATCCTTCTGCATATCTTTATCTCTGCAATTTACAGAGATGCCATTCTCCCTACCTGGCCAGCCAGCTCAAGTTACTCACATAATTCCACCATCTTCTCTGTCACTCATCCCTGAGCCACCTCCCTCTTCACAAGATAATAAATTCTGGGAGAGGCCTAGGATCAGAGCCTTTGTCTGCACATCTTCACAGGGATTGGATTTAGGAACCCTTGGCTGCCCTTAACTTAGAACATGTCTTGGTGTCTTTACTCTGGGTTGGATTGGAGTTGGTAGATCGGAATTAACTTGCTGGGTTTCCAATGAGGTCTCAATGGGATTACAAATATGACTTTTTGGATTGTGAGGAAAACTAGAAAGAGGATTACAATACTTGGATGACCACACATATTATTTGGGATTACAATACAAATCCATTTCAGTCTATCTTTCCATGAGGGGTTCAGGGTGGGGCAACTTATACCTGGGAAACACTGCTAACTACCCGTTCTTAGCACATGCAACACCAAGTGACTGTTATGAACCTCTCTGCCAGGAACTTTCCTCCCTGGCACTGAGGAAAGATGCAAGTGGTAAATTTTAAATCATCATCCTTGACATTCTGATCAAGAAGTGAAGGGAAGAAGGGCTGCGCAAAGCTGAAATACCCAGGCCACACAGCCCTGAGAGTCAGACGTGGATAAGCCAGGACGGCTCCCTCCATGCCGCAAGGTCCATTCTGCACGCCTGGGTCCCAAAGGTCCAGGGCAAGGGAGGAGCATCCTTCTCCACAGAATGAGAGTCCTTCCCCATGGGGCACCAGTCAGCTCCCAAAGGGTGTGAGACAGACACAGCAGGGCTTTTTCTCCCAGCCCACTGAGGGGGAACACTAAGAAGGCAGAGGCCGGGCTGCCCAGGCTCCACCCCGGGTCCATCTCTTTATCCCATGAGACTGTTTCCCAGGCCAGGCCGACAGGACCGGGAAGATGCTCAATTTTGCCTCGACGGCCTCCTACTTTCAGTGCTATTTTCTTTTTTAACAATGTTTATCAGCACACGTCTGCTGCACAGGATGATTATGCTCACCATGGGAGCGATGCTGTTTCAGTGTACCAAAGAAGACTAAAGGAGCACGCATCATTTGAACACTTCTCTTCAGTGTCTGCTCTGTGACCCAGGCTCAGAGGCAGCTGTCACCCTAAGGATGCTTTTGCATTGAGTGCCTTTCATGTCATTATCAGGAAAGACAAGCACAGCATCCCTAGAGGCAGGTTCTGGACTCATCATCGAAGAGGTGAGGACACTGAGGCTCACAAGAGTCTCGTTAAATCCAACGTGCCCAAACCTAATTAGGAAATGCATAACAAGGAGTAAAGCTCTTAGCCCTAATTGAACACAAATTATTTGACTTGCCAAACACCAAAACCAAGATGCCCTTCCAAGAGGACACAACTAAGTAGGGAGTCTGAAAGCAACTACACGTTTTAAAATGTGACACCAACATATTTTAAAAATAAGGCATTGCAGGCTATCACGATAATTCTGAGATCACAGCAATAACTCACCCACAGCAATCAGTGGGTGAAGCTAAGCATCTGATCTAGAATCAGAAAAGTTTCCTGTAAATAGGATCCAAATTCAAAGCATTCTCGTGCAGCTCTGTCATCAACAGCCAAGAGCCTAAGAAATCAAGGAAAGTAAACAGCAAAAGAATCAATTACGGGGCCGGGGATTTAGCTCAGTGGCATAAGCATCCACCTGCCAGGTGCAAGGTCGTGAGTGCACCCCCAGTACAAAAAAAAATCAGTTATGATCAAATAAGACTGTGATTTAGACAATGTGAGGTCCAGCTTGGAAGAACCTTAACTTTTTTAGGATCAATTATAGCTGCCCGGAAGAAGACAGCATCCTCGTCCTCAGGGTGCCATCTCAATTCTCATACATGATGTCTAGCACACAATCCAAAATATGAGGAGAAAAGAAACTGCAATAATAGCTAAGGGACACAGAAGACAACAGACAGAAAGGAGGACCGGATAACAAAGGTTTAAAAGACTTTAAAATCATTATGCTTAATATGTTTGCTGAAACAAAAGGTGAAAGAATCACAACTAGAAACTGCAAAAAGGACACATATGAAGCAATCACTTGGAAATATTTGTCAAAAGGAAAAAAGGGAAGGCCAGGTAGAGAGACCTTACCCAGTGATGGTAAGTTAGTAAGTCAGACTTACGTGCCTGGCCAGAAAACTCTTAGATTGTGTGGCATCCTGAGAGCCTGGACTCTGAATTGCCTGGTTTGAGATCCAAGCCTGCATTCACTATCCTGTGCCCTTAAGCAAATCCGTTCATCTCTTCCAAGTCCTCATCTTGTAAGATGTAAAAACAGTATCTACTTCATAGGATTACTGAGAGGATTCTGTCAGTTCTTAAATCACTGGCATGAAATTCTACTTACATATGCAATACAACATCATTCTCCATTAAATAAACAGAAAAGCCTAAACTCAGTCCAGCAAGCCATCAAATACTTGGTCTCTCCTCTCTTTGGAGCTGCCCCCTTCCGTTTCTCTAGACTCTGTTCCTCAGTCCACATACCCATGACACTTAGCCACTTAGATTTCATCAACTGTATCTAGCCCGTTCTCATCCTTCCCTCTGCCCTGTCCTCCCTCCCTGAGAAGCCTCTCACACCTAATCCACTTAGAAAGCTTTTCCTCCACCAACAAGGGTTGATTACAAACATCAGCTCCTCTAGGAAGAGTGGCTGTGACCCCCGAAGGAACGACTTCCTCTTCTGGACTCAGCCAGCTCTCACCTTCCTGTTAGCAAGGTGTGTGATCACAGCTGTCGCCCCACACACGGAGCTGCCTTACAGCAAGCAGAGCGTCCAATGCACAGCAACTGGTGGGTTAGAACTACTAAATGGGAGGGAGAAACCTTACTCCTCCAAGGCCTGCAGCATACTCCTGGGGTCCTCGGAAGTAAGAATGTCGATCATTTGATCATTGAGAGAGAGATCCTCACTGATACCATCCGCTGAGGCAAACGGCGAGGGCTCCAGCTTGTTCTCAGCATACAGCGCCTAGAGAAGAAAAACAGACACAACAACTGAGCAGGCCTTCTCGGGCTGCTGTGCGCTGTGATGGAAGAAAAGGCCAGAGCTGCGGAGAGAGGAGCTGGCCAGCCCGTCACACTGTGGGCTCTTAAGATGCCAATGAAGTCACAAAGCCTCTGCACTTTCCTGGAGCTCTAACTCCTATAGACCTGTGGGGATAAAATGAAGCAATGGATGTGGAAGCCTTCTGACTTACAGAAATATTATACCATCTTTGCCATCGCCACCATCATCACCACCATCGTCATCACCATCACCACCATCACCACTACGATCAGCACCGCCATCATCACCATCATCAGAATTGTCACCATCAGGTTGAGGGAAACCCATAATAGGCTAGAAGCCACAACACCACAGATCTGGCCAGTTTCTAATTAGAACCTGGGATTAGGAGATCAAAATGACATTAAAGAAAATGAAGCCCCAGTTTCTTATTATATACACGAGATCTCTTTTTTGCCCAGAATGTTAGTTCTGCAGAAATGGCTAGGAGTTGACCGCTCACATGTAAGAATTCTTGTTCCTATACCAGTAGTATTGGGGGAGCTGTGTGTGCTGTATCTGAAAAGTGTCCACAATTTACAATTAAAGAGACTGAGGCTCAGAATGGTGCAATAACATGCTGATGCTCACAGGGCTCAAACAGAGCTGGGCTTATTCTGTCCTCCCAGTTCGCTCTGACTCAGAAGCTCTCTCTGCTTTATGGCACACTGGTTGCCCCCATGCTGGCAAAAAAATAAAGAAAAATGCACAAAAATTTCCCTTCTTAACATCGGGGAAAAAATACTGCAAGGGTCTCGGCCTTAATCACATTCCAGCTCTGTGCAGTGGTCATCCTGCAGCCGTGCCAATCTGCCTTTAATCTCCGGGAAACAAATCCTGTTCTGTGCAGCAGTGCAGGCTCGTCCTGTCCCCTGATGGATGACAGCCTGGGGGAACCATGTACACAGTTTTTCTTCACAGCAGGGACACAGCCAGCAAGGGACCACAAGTGGGGACAAAACTTCTGTTTCCGAAAAGATGGGGTCACCAGAAGCCGGATCCTACCCTGGCTTGGCTGCTTGACCTGAGGAACCAGTCTTCACCACACAAAGTGAGAGAGCAGGACAGTAGGTGCTCCGTTCCAGGTGTGGGACAGGAGGGTGACACTGAGTCACAGCGGCTTGAGCCCACCATGGTCCTGCACACAGAGACCCACCTACAAAGGCTGTCCTAGAAGAAGGCAGCTTCTGCAGCTCTCTGACAGCCCCCGTGGCTTTCCACTCTGCAAGGGCACTCTCTCACCACTCCAGCCCTGTGTGCAGTGTGTGCAAACACAGGACCCCCAGGCAAGGCGACCCCAGAGACCCTGGGGGCCTCTGCCACAGCCTCACCTGAACTGCTGCAGCTCCCACCAAGCAAGATCCCTGGCCAGCACTTGCATCCCTTCCTGGGGGTGGGGGGAGTCACACTGGCCTTCATACCCAGGCCAAGGCACAATGTCACCCCTCCTCCTGGCCTTCCCTGCCACTGCTTGCCCTTAATAACCGATAGATCTTGGTGGTATCACCCTGCCCCGCCGCACCTCAGGTGAAGTGGCTGGTTCCGGTTCTGTGCCACTCGTGGAGCCTCTGGGCAGGACTCAGCTCCAGGCGCTGGTGCTCACAAGTCTCCCTTGTTTGCCTCCTCACCCCACTCATTGTTTCTGGGGTTCACTTCCTACTGACCAAACATGGAAGCGTGTCTCAGGGATGTGCTCCTGTAGGAATCCATACTAAGCCAGGGAGGGATTCAGAGTTAGAGCTCACAGGTGCTGGCAAGTGCTGCTGGGGGGACCCAGAAAGACCCTGAGCCTGCCAGGAAGTGGCCAGCGATGACTTCAGCGAAGAAGGTGCCTGAGTTAAGTCCTAAAAGATAGGTGACAGGGGTGCCACTTCGGGAAAGGGGGAGAAGCACACAGGGGTGAGCAATGCCTTTGGGAACACTGAGTCACGGGCGTGGCAGGAAGTGGGTGTGACATGAAGAACAGCAAGACAGGTGGCAGGAGCCAGGCTGAAGAGGCTGTGCCTCCCCGAGGACGGCAACATGTGGAATGGGGCCTGGGCAGTGCTCGAGTGTGGGGTTCTCGCACTGTGCACAGGTGAAAAATCACCCAAAGAGTCCATCGGAGAAAATGGGACACATACACACAGACGAACACTCACTGTACAAAGACAGTGCCCTGTCACAACATGAATGACCTGGACGACGTCGTGTGAGTGAAATAAGCCAGGCACAGAGGACAGAGTCACGTGGCCATGTAGAGAGCTGTCCTGGGGCAAAGAGCATGTGTCACAGCCAGGTGACAGGAGCAAGCAGGGCTGTGCCATCGCGTGGGAGACGACAACAGCCAGGGAGCACGTGCCGTGCGTCCCCAGACAGGAGAGAGGACAATGAATTCTCCCAGCACAGAAACCACCTACACTCACCTCCCTGGTCTGGTCACCACAGTGCACACCTGTGCCAAAATAGTCCACTGTGCCTTGGACACTCACACAACTACTATGTGTCAATTAGAAATGGAACTTGAGAGAGAATCGTCCAGGGAGCTTTTGTAAAGGACTCATGGTGAGAGCACCCTGGGAGGGGCGCGGCACTCTCTGCAGGGCCAGGATGTGAATATTGTTCTTGACTCCCCAGCGGGGTCTGGCATCCGCTGCTCAAGCTGGGGAATGAACATCCACCTTGAGCCACCACCATCCACACACCCCAGGAGGGAGACTCACACTGTGTCCGGCAAGCAGGCCTCCAGGCAGACACCGATAGTGTACCAGCAAGAAGAGTGCCACCCAGCTCAGCACCAGGGAGAGGAGGAAGCCAATGAAGAAGCCTGCAGCGTGGAGACCGTGGTGGGGCAGGACCTGCAGGGACAGGAGGGAAAAAGAGTCACATGTGGACCCATGGCCTATCTTCCAGGTTGACAGAGGCTTAGCAGAAGACTCTGGGGTCAGGAAGGCTGTCAGCATCTGCCCAAGACTGGCTGGTCACCTCATGGTCTCACTGGCCTCTCTGAACCTGAGGGTCCTCATGGAGCTCAAAGGGGCAGGGAAGGACTGAGGGGTGAACAGCAGCACAGCCCCAGCAGGGACACTCGGCCCCACCCCCAGCATGTCACACGCACCCAGCACGCTAAGTTCCCACATCAAACACGCACCACATCCAAGGCAGAGACCAGAAGGAGACGCAAGCTGGCCCCTGGAGGACATTCTATCAGGGGCACAGTCCAGACCCCAGGGCACCTGCGGTGGGGGACACTTAGCTATAGGAGGTGGGCAGAGTGCTGGGCAATCCTGCAGCCTGACAGAGCATGCACAGAACATGAAGGGCTAAATGTGGTAGGTGGATGGGAGATGTGCCACCCAGATCCCCTTTCAGGAAAGACATGGTCCCCAGCTATGGACAGACAGCACCACGGCAGCCTCCAGGTTCCAGGGCAGAATCAGCTGCAGAGACAGCCACTGCACCCTTCCCAGGACAGCCCATATCAGGTGGCAGAGCACAGCAGGGGTACGATGACAGCCATTCCAGCCTGCAGGTCACAGTGACAGGCAGCAGCTGCTTCTAGACCCCCTGCCAGGTTGGCTACACTACATCCACAGTCCGTCCTTTCCCTCCACCCAGCCCCGATCCTCTGACCATGTGAGGTGCCCAAGATCAGCCACAGGTTGGATGATCCACTGGGTGGACTCACCGCAGTCCAGTTCATAGATTCTCAGAGCACAAGATGCCCAGCAAAACCAGAAGGGGACGAGAAGCTTTGGGCAAAGCCCTGTGAAGCCACAGTTTTCCAAGGTCCCTCCAGGGAGGCACACAGTATGGGCCCGACCTCCACCCACAGCACCCATTGTGACAATGCACATGAAAACAGACTCAGAGCTCAGGGTTTAGCTTGGAGCTGACCCCTCAAGCCCCTCTACAGGTGCTTAGAAGATTCCAGACCCCAGGAAGGAAGGTAGGTGTGCATCATATGTGGGAGACAACTCCAGTGACTCCCCTTGAATGCAAAAACAATTGCTGTAACCTTGATTATATGGAGATTGATTTCCTTATACTGATATGTAGAGAGCTGGCTATGGTATTTCCTTCTCTCCTCAATTGGTTCTAAGCATTGCAAATAAGGCTAGCCGAGGTGCTGGTATGTAATCTCTTAAAGCTGACAGACAGTCTCTTGTTTCCTCACACAGTGCTCTCTGTAAAAGATATGAGCACAGCTGAACGTTAGAGCCAACAGCTCCGGGAATGTCAACTGGGTAGGAGCCTCAAGGTAAAGAGGCTATGACTCCCCAGAGCACAAAAATTTACAAATCAGAAACCAAAGCAACAGCCTCCTAAAACAATTCAGTTGCTACCTTAATTGAATTATGCAAACTGATCCTTCTGCATATCCTTATCTCTGTGTTTTGCAGATACCTTTCTCCCACCTGGCCACCAGCTCAAGTTACTCAGTAATCCCTGCTATCCTCACTATCACTCATCCCTGAGCCACCCCCTTCTTCGTAAGATAATAAATTCTGGAAGAGGCCTAGGATTAAGGCCTTTGTCCCGGCATCCTCACAGGGATTGGATTTAGGACCCCTTGGCTGCCCTTAACTTAGAACATGTCTTGTTGTCTTTACTCTCGCTGTGGGTTGGATTGGAGGTGGTAGATTGAATTAGCTTGCTGGGTTTCCAATGACATCTTAATGGGATTACAAACATAACCTTCTGGATGGTGAGGAAACCTGGAAAAGGATTACGATACTTGGATAACTATACTCAATATTTGGGATCACAATAGCATAAATAATGCCTTTTGGTGAAACTGGTTTAATTACAGTGAGCCAGTGTCTTAGTTACTTTTTACTCATCGCTGAGACAAAACACCTGAAGCCCAGAGTCGGGAAAGGAAAGGTTTATTTCTTACAGTTTTTGGAGGTTTCAGTCCACACTCAGTTGGCTCCAAGACAGGCGGGCATGTCTGGAACGCAGTTCATGGCGGCTGCAAACAGCAAGCAGGAACCAGCAAAGAGCAAGACACACCTTCTTCCTGCCATTACATCACATCCTGGCTCCACCCCTTTGTGGGTGGAGCACTGACACCATCAATCCAAGCGCTAGACAATAAACCAATCACAAATACACAATGCAAACTCATGAGGCCTGGGGGACACAAACATAAACCATGACAGCCAGGCTGATCAGTTTGGGGACAGCAGGATCCTCCTGAGGTCCCAGATCTCAGAGGCTGGTCTGGGCCACCTTGCACGCTGGCCTTTCTAAGAACAGTGGCCTCAGGTTCACTAGATTGACAATTTTCTGCTCACTGGCAAACACACCACACCTACCTGTGTGCCTGCCTGTGGCTTCCCTGGAAGCCAGCGTAGGAGAGTGAGTTTAACTCACAGCAGCCACAGAGAGGATGACAAGACAACTAACCTTTGCTCCTCACCACTGTGGCCATGGTGCAGGGGACAGTCAAGGTTAAATCCTCCTGACAGACCCAAGTCCACCCCGACCTTCTGGACCATGGAGCTGGGTTAGGTCAGACAGGATCGCCCACCCAGATGTCCACTAGAGGCTGAACTGAACTGTGACAGCACCCACACCACCCTGAGGGAGGACGGGCATCTGTCCACACAGAGGGAGGAGCTGATACTACTGCCTGCTCTGCCTTCCTAAATTTTCATCAGCACCAATTCTGCCTAGCAGGTTCTCCATTTGTGCTGGAAATAGCCCTCTGCACCCTGAGCCGTGCGCCCTGTGCTAACTGTGTACCTATGGGAGGAGAAAAATCAATAACTGGGCAAGTTAAGAATAGCACTACATGGGGGTGATGTTCAAATATTGGTAAGACAGAGGCAAACAAAAAGGCTCTAAGGAGAACAAAGGAGCCAGAGATCAGCAATCTGTTTCCAAGGTTCGTTCGTTCTCTCCAAGGAGCTTGTTTTGGAGAATGGGGTGGCAGTTTCAAGCAGGGAGACACCGGCCAGATCAGCCAGAGACGACAGCTCTGGCAGCTGCACGCCCTCGGTCAGGAGGGTAGGAAATGATGGTAATGGACACAGCAGGAAGGGTGCTGGCTTATTCTCCATGCCCGCCAGGCTGCCTTTCTGGGAAGTATCCTTTGGTCCTTTGAGCTGAGCTAGGGCTTCCCCTCTTAGGCCACCAGCTCCCCAGGTTGGGCAAGGCACTCTGCCTTCTGTGTCCCCAGCAGGAAGGGCTGGTGAAGACCTCGGACTCTGACCCCTAGTCAAGTCCAGCTCTGCCCCAGCTGTGCTGCAGGACCCTGGGCCTCCCCCACTCTGAGCTTCGGGGGCTGCATCTGGAAAACAAGGACAAGAGTGGCAGCTGTGGTTCTTCAGCACGTTAACAACCAAATGACCACGGACCCTGAAACTTCATTTCCCAGTGTGCACTGGAAAGAATCAGAAGCAGGCACTTCCACAAAACCCTGCACCTGCGTGGCCACAGCAGCAGAGCCAACGTGAGGAGGGGGTCAGACATCCCGATAAATAAATAAGAAACACCACATAGCCACACCACGCAATACTACACAGCCAGAGGAGGCAAGATGACCTGGCATGAGCTACACCACGAATACAAAATGGTGCCCAGCCAAGGAAGCCAAGGCCACACACTTGCGTGTGCAAGGTCCAGATCAGAGGGAGGGCAGGCAGGGCAGCGCTGTAGGGATGGGGGAGGGGGAAACAGCAATGGTGATGACAGAATGGGCATGTGGGACCCCAGACAGCAAGCAGACAGTGGTCCCAAAGTCCCGCTTTGGGGGCACCCCTGCAGCAACAAGCACTGGAACTGAAGTTGTGCAGAGGCCGAGCATCAATCCCAAGTTAATCACATCTGAGACCCCCCCAAATGTCACAGCCCAACTCCTCTGCTGCCCATGGAAAGCACAGATTCCAAAGAGCATGTTCACCTTGCGTGGCACTGCCTCAGGAGTAAAGCAAAAGGGGTGCTTTTCCTTTCCTATTCTTGATAACTTTCCTTCTGTCCCTTGCAAAGGATTCGCCATCATCCCCACCCCTTTAACCACTCATTAGTGGGAGCACACGCGTTTTGTGAATTCCATCGCTGCACTTATGAAGAGTGAGGCTGGACACAAAGGCTTTGCAGAAGGAATGCTGTAAGGCTGAGAGCCCAATAGTACGCTGAAACTTTGGTTATGGATCAGGCTTCAACTATGTAATAATATATGCATAGCCTTGAAGAGGCAGGAGGCTCACATCTTAGCGAGGATTCTCTCTGGTGGCAAAATGTTATTTTTCTCTTCCAGCTTTTTTGTATGTGGAGGGGCACAAAGCAGGTGTCAAAGGCCCACCTTGGGCATGCGTTTAGTCCTGGCCACTACTGAAAGGCCTGTTGGCCCAGACCAGACACTGTAGCCAGAAAAGACCTCAGCCAGAATCAGGGAGCTCCTGTCTCCCCTGCCCCTAGAGATTTACCTGTAATCCTATATCCCCCTTTGGAATCTGACCCTGGTGCCAAATGTGTGCCAATGAAATACCTGTGCATCTCTAGTGGCCTTAGGGCACTGCCCTAAGCTTAGGCTACTTATATTCCCCCACGCCATGTGTCCTCGAGAGAGATCGCCAGACTTCAGCAGCCGGGGTGCTAGTCATCTCTCTCCATGTTCTCAGAATAAAGGCCTCTTTTTGTTTTATACTTCTCATCTTTTGGAAATACTTTTCATCTTTTGGAAATAATCCTATCATTTGGTGCCATGACTCAATGGGCAGGCGATTCACTCCTGGGACACACACACCCAGTTGAGACCCCAGCCAATTCACGAACCAGTAACATCCTGGCTTAATTCTGTGCTTTTTCTTCTGCCGAGATGCATTTCACTTCTTGCCGGCCGCCTCCA